ACATTGTTTTTGTCATACTAAAAATGTGGACCATCTTTTATCAAGGCAAATATAAGTATCGGATCTGGACTCAGTATTGGCTGATTCCCAATATAAAAAAATCGGATCGGGGACCTTAAAAGCTGATCGGGACATCCCTAATTCATGCTTTATCTAAAAACTGAATTAAACCTCAACAGCCAGTTCAACCTTGAATTCTAACTTTATATCTTTAAATCTTAAATCTCATTTCACCTTCAAATAACATGAGAATCAAAGACAATAACTAACAATAAATGAACAGCAAGTTTAACTATATAATCCACAGGTAACAGGTGTGTAATCTTGAGTCATGATTAAAGGAGCAATATGTAATTTTGACACCTAGTGTCAAAAATGGGTACTGTAGTCCAGATTCACATTAACACCAGCACGGCTCTCTCTCTTGCTCACGGCAGATAAGAGACTCAGGGAGCTAGCCTACATGCCGAAACAGCGACATCTACAGGCACGGAGGTCGTTGTGATTTCAGGACAATTATGGGAATTAAAACACGATTTTTAATTTATTTAATTTATCAATAAAGGTGCACAGATGAACCGATCGTGAAAATAAATACCTCTACTGTACGGTATGGACGTTATAGCACAGCCCTCGTTTAGCCCTTGATTGACATATTAAACATCCAATCGGAAAACTCTTACTTTCCACCTAAATCTTGTTTCAATCAGTCAGCAGCCTATTGGACCCGAAACTGTCAGAATCTAAACTTATTATCAAAAACATATTTAACTTTTAAAGCCTACCATGTGCTGCTGAATCAACCAAAACAGTTCATCCTACATTGACAGCCCATTGATTCTTGAGAACACAGCTGTTTTAACATCAAGTCAAAGTCTGCATAGACATGATTCGATTGACAACCTGTCAAGTTTTAATTAAACTGCTGGTTAAATCCAAATCAAGTAAGTTTAACCCTGAAGGAGCTGGTCGTAAAGGTGGAAATGTTTACTCTGCAGTGTTTCCCTTAGGTTTAGAGCTCTGGGGGGGCGTCCTGTGAGTTGTTCCTGCAACTCCCGTTTCTGAGCGCACCTGAATACATCTCTCATTGTCTAAGCACCCCTGAATGCAGCATGCTAACAGTGCATCCCCTGAGTAACGGCAGACAGAGAGACATGCCCAGAAAAGTCTGAAGTCAACTAAGCCGACTACTTTATTTTCTGATGGTTCTTATGGACTTTTTATTATTGCGTGTGCGTCCGTCAAACACAACCACACACACCCAGGCCTCCGCTGGTGAGAGTGTGCTCACCTGTGTGCGTGCAAGTGTGTGTGTGTGTGTGTGTGTGTGTTTGCGAATGTGTCTGTGTGTGTGTGTGCATTGGGGCGAAACTCTGCCGTGCACGACACAGAGAGCAGAGGAAAATTGTAAACACCATGCAGAGACAGAAATGACATGCTGTCGTGTAAATAAGATAAATAACATAAGGCTATTTAGTTCGTTTGATAAAAGAATGAGGTATAGACCTGTTCTATAGGAAAGGTATCCTTATGTCTTCTGTTGTGATCTGGCACTATATAGAAAATAAAATTAACTTGACCATCAAGGGGGGCAGGGGGTGTCGTTGGGGGGGCGGGCCTCCCCCCTAATATAATGGTAGGGGAAACACTGCTTTATGAGGCTTAAAGACGCTGAACTAAAGAGCGGGTTAGATTAAAACTTTCCAGGACCAGCTGGAGGGATGGACTCCCGCAGCATTATCTAAAAACAGAAACTGGGTTAGATTAGATCACTCTGTAAACAGCTTGTTTCTAGGATGCTGCTATTTTTAGCTAGCAGGAATATCAGACACTTAGATAGCCGGGTTGAATTCAAACAGCGAGTCAGGATAAGACAGTACAAACATTCAATAGAAAAGCCTCACAACTTTTATTTTTAAATGCAAAATAACTGAACATCAAACAGAGGCCAGAGGCTGGCTGTAGCACAGTAGATGACTGTGTGTATGTGGAGCTCCAGCAGATGTCGCCCTTGAGCACCAGCATGATTATCAAAACTGCTGTTTGGCCACACCTCCTCCATACTGAAGCCTCCGATCTCCTCCAGAGACACACCTCCAACCCCTCTCCACCTCGTGTTCGCTCGAAGGAGTTTAGTGAAACCGGCAGACAAAGTTGTCCTGGACTCGAGCTGCTATCACCTGTGTCCTGCATTGTTGTGTTAGCATGCTAATGTTAGCGCTCTTTAAGTTAGCCTGTAGCTTCACATTGCATGTAAACTGACACAGAATCAACGTGATCTAAAAACTCTTACTAACATCCAAATAATCAGTGTATCTTCTTCTTCTCTCTAGTCCTTGACTAAAACAGCTTTTATACACAAGGGGAGGAGCCAGCCGTCCCGTCCATGTAAACACGGTCTGACAACAACACAGCCAGCGGGACTCGAGCTTCTCACTCAATGTAGACAGTCATGACTCACAGAAATATTTACACAGGATAGACTTGATTTATGATATATTCATGAGGAACATGTCGCACATTCTTCCTTTAAAACACCATCATTCATAGAGAGAGAAACAGCTTTATCATGCTGCTCGGATTTCCACTGATGCTTTATGGAGAGTAAAGCGTGCAGTGTGTTCAGTATCACAGACTGATCATGTAACACACACAGAAAGACATGGGGGATTTTCCATCACAGCTAAAGCAGATTTATTCCAATGAGATAGAAAACAGTTAAAAGGTTTTAGGGGCTGAGCCATTAAGAGGTCAGTGATCTCTAACAACAGCAGGCGGTTGGGTCGCGTCTGCTTTAACTGAGAGCTCAGAGGTGACAGCAGTGAAGTGAGTGTGACGGACGCAGGAGGTCGGCCAGCTGGAAGCAGGAAACGGAGCACAAGTGCTGGAACTTGGCAGCAAACCTGCAGAGAGCTGGATAACAGACAGCTCTGAGCGGATGATCGCTGCAGGCCAGCAGGACGTTTGGCAGGCAGCAGATCTCAACGCTGAGCTAAATTTATAAGAAGAAGGAGAAGAAAGCTGGACTGAACTGCAGCTGTAGAGGAGATACGAGCTGAACACTGAGCGACAGCATTAGCAGATGTTTTTAATCTATTGCTTTCACTCCTAGAAACCAAATCATTAAATACATTTGATTTCTTATTTAAAGGAAATACTTGACTGAAAGACCAATACACTCTGTTCATGCCATCAGCCTGGAATGTCTGGAATGTAAAATGTCTTTTACTGGCTGCTTAATATAAAAAGGTGTCAAATCTTTTGCTGGGAAGGAAACTAAAAACTGAGCCGCACCAAGTAACACTGTGCATCTCAACAACTGAGTTTAACCCTGAAATAAACTGTATATAAGACGCACCCTGTTTTGAAAAAAAGTTTAAACCGTTTTCCTGCGTGACGATTTATATTGTGTTCAGCAATGTCAACAACGTGCAGTTTCTGTGCAGCTGTGTCGCTCTTTTAGTTCCCTCTGTTTTCACGTTCGGGAGTTTGCTCTCCTACTAGCTACAGTACGGTAGTTGAGCTCTCAGCGTGCTGCAGGGAAAGTTGTGAGGCACAGACTCCTAGCTTGCGAGTCGAGCTGCCCGACTCCGCTCAAGGGAAAGCTTTAAAAAGGCACTTTTTATTTATAGTTGCTTCGGTAAAAAGTCACCTGTTTCAACATGTAAGTATTCTTCTTAAAATGATGTGAGACTCTTGTTTTTGTAAAGTTTCCAATATAAACAGGCCCAGAAGGAGCTAATGTCAGCCAGGATGGTAGCGCTAACACTACCGATCCACTGTGTATGTTGATTTAGCTCCCATTCACCGGGTCTTTCAGGGGCCCAGCCATTGGGCCGGCCTCGAACCTCGTGCAGACAATCTAACCTCTTGTATTTGAAAGTGCTGCCACTTTTTAAAAAATCTACTTTAAAAAAACCTGCTAACCAGAACATCCGTTCAGAGTGCACATACATTCATAGCACACACAAATATTTGCGAGACAGCTTGGAGAGTTGCAGGTTTGTAACGACCCCTTTGTCTCTCCACCAGAGCAGTGGGCTGCTCTCCGCAGGGGGACGAGTCACCCTCATGTAAGTTTTAGTCTTCTGAATTGTGCCACAAAAAGGTTTACAAATCTGATATTGTGAAAAACCGGATGCAAAAATAAAATCTAAATCTAATCGAAACGTAAATATTTGCTACATCTCCAGCTCCAACCTCTCATTCAAATATTGTCACTTCTGACTCCAAAAACCAAGACAGCAACCACAAAAATACAAAACTAAAGGCTTCCACAACATGAGTGATCAGTGTTTCCCCTAGGTTTACAGCTTTGGGGGGGTGGGGGGACACACGCCGACACAAACACTTGAAGGAATATTGGTGTTCATGCGTTACTTTTAATGACAGCTGTCGTGTTCTATCGGAAAGGTATCCTTAAATGACTTCTTTCCCTGATTTCCAACTGTATCCACTATCCTATCCCTACAATAAAGGCAAAAAACGCCCCCCAAAAAAACAAAAAAAAAAACGCCCCCCTAATATAATGGTAGGGGAAACACTGGTGATGTTACAAAGGCTACCTCCACTTCTGTGGATACACTGTGGTGAATATCTGAGGTATGTCATCGTCTACTGCAAACGTTTTTATCACGTTTTTCGTTTCGCTCAACTTCACTTAAGTGCATAATGAAATCAATCGGGTTCCCCTTCAAGACAGATCTGTTAGGTTTGGATTAGAGGAGGTCAGCCCAGATTTAATGACGCCTCAATTCAGGCAAACGCATCTTATTTTTTCCTCTCTTAACCAGAAATGTCTTTGAACATCAATTACTGTTGGATGAAACACCCGTACAGTTCTGCTTCATGAGCATAAAAAACAGAACAAATGAAAGAAAGTCATTATTTAAAAAGCATGATTAAACAGAGAGATAGGAGGCGTGTGTTCTCTTCAGCCAGGCCCACAGCAGCCACAGTCACATGATGAATAAACATAAATGACATCATTTTGCTCTTACCTTCACACTGACCACCTTCTTCAGATTTCTGCATTCACCGTTATCCACCTCCTCCTGCTCTGTTGTCATAGCAACAGGCTGGCCAATCCCTGCCGAGTCCAGTGCCATATTCCCGAGCTGCTCAGCGGCAGCCAACTCAGGGTTTTGTTGGCCCTCGAAGGGGCCGCTGCGAGGGGCCCCCAGTGGCAGGATGGGGGCCACGGCCTCCTTCTCAGTGCTGACCACTCCTGTGACCCCCACCTCCATTTTCTCCTTCTTAGTTTTCCCAGATACTCCGTCTTTGTCCTTTTTCACTGCTGGGAGGTTTCGGGAGGGTTTACTGGACTTGTCCGTTCCCTTAGTGGGAGTAGAGTTGGGGCTCTGGGGGGGCGGGTCCCCAGGGGCCCGACTCTGAACCTCCTTCTTGGCTCCGTCTGAGACGGGGGCCTTCACGCTCTCTTTAGAGTTTTTACTACGTTTGGATTTAGATTTGCTCTCTTTGCCCTGTGTGGCAGCTACAGGACTAACAAACTTTATATTGTCAGGTAAAGCAGCCACAGCGCTGGGGGGGGCCGCCATGCCCCCTCCCTCCTTGCTGCTCGACATCTCTAGTTTATCCTTCTCCAAGTCTGCGTCCAGGTCAATGATCAGATTGCCAACACCGATATCCCACTCATCGCCGCTGTCGTACGTGTCCACCGCGTTGGAGTCCACACCTTTCCCGCCTGCAGGGCCGCTGCTGAGGGACATCTTAGTAGGATCGTCCCGGAGCGCCGCAGGAGGGCCACAGGAGGGCCGCACTCCTCCCAGCCACAGGACGCCTCCTCAGGGCAGGACCCCGCGCCTCCTCCCTGCTCCCCACATCTCCTCCTGAAGAGAGGAGAGAGTTAGACTGACAAAAAAAACAGCAACAGGATACAGACACTAATAAAAGTTACTTCCATGAGGAAGTGATCCCGACATCGCTGTAACCAATCAGCATCTTACTTTTTACATTTTTATCTTAGTTTAATATTTATCTCAGCAAGTTTGTCTTCTCTGATTGCTGCTGTAGAAAATGTGAGGAATGATTTGGTGATGTTGCGTCTACATGATCAACATTTCGAGACACTAACAAAAGCATAATGATTACCTTTAACTCCTCTGTTTAAACTACAGTGTTTACTTTTTCATTTCCCCCCGCCGTTATTATTACAGAACGTGGACTTTAGTATCATCGAAAACAAACAGCTCAACGAAGCCAGTACAAAAAAATATTTTATTGCTCATTTCTTTTATTGCTCTGACACAAAGGCCGTGTTGACGAGGATCATGGTCGGTCATTGGGAAATTGTTTCCCAGCATGAGTAATCAGACACTTCCTCCGTAAGGCCTCTTATCATATGAAAGGAGCCGTGTGACCTCTGACCTCCTCTGACAATACAGCTGTTGGCAGAGACGGCTGGGGGTGGGGTCGGGGGTTAGTTAACAGCCTGCACTCTCAATGACTCAAAACCAGCCCTTTTCAGCCGTCATCATGTCTTTGTACACTCATATTGATCCCTTGAAGGCGTAATATCCCAGTCTGAATTCACATTGTGTTTTGGTGTTGCGGAAGAACAGCACAGCAGGAGCTCCACATACACACACAGTCAGACATGAAAACACACACACACACACACACACACACACACACACACACACAACACTGCTAACTGATCAGAGCTGTTCTCAGATCAGTTCTCTGAAGCCACGCCTCATTACAAGCCGGAGAGACTTTGTTTGGAGACGAGCTGGGTCGCTCTGACCTGCAGACCCATCCAGCAGGACAAACAATCACGCTCGGTCTGATGTAGAGTTGGCTCGGCCGTTTCCACAACTCAACACAGACGAGCCAGCCAGCCAGCATCTTCTGACAGTGAAGGGTTATAAACTACAAGTCGGAGTCAGGTCGAGTCCTCGCTCAGTTATTAACAGGCTGTCAGAGCTGCGGGGTGAGGAGGAGGAGGCGGTTACACACACACTCTGTGTGGACTGTTAGGAGACCGGCTCAGAGAATAACTGGATCTGAATTAACCAGTCCAAAAATGTTTTCATTTCGCTGCTTTATTTGGCCGCCTTGTTTAAAAGAATCAAATGAGACCTTTGAGATTATCAGGCAGATACCGAAACTAAAGACTATTGAACCAGACTTTTAAAGATTGTTTTAGTCTCCTGTTCCAGCTTCTCAAGTATCAGGAGTCAAACCAGTGCTCTGAAATCAGCCCACAAGCTCTAAATGCGGGTTGATTTTCCGTTTGGCGAGTTAATTTCAAAGAGCAATGCACTTCATGGTTAATATTTATCCCAACAGTCATGCTCATCTGCAGACGGGTCATCATGGGGGCACGCCGAGACGAGACACACCAACATACATGGCTGCAAACGCACACACACACCGGAACACCAACCACCGCGCGCACCTGTTTACTTGTAGTGCAACGGAACACGGTTGATCCATGATCAGCCAGCTGTAGTCTGTGAACTTCACACAGACTGTCAAACAGTGCTGCATTATAGCCAGCAAATGTATTTTTATTATTTCTCAATTTCCTGATCTGATCAAATGATCCAAATCATGTGACTTAAACCTGTTATAATTTGACATAATACCTTAACTCAAATAAATGTACTTAAACAAATGTGTAGGTAAAACGAAAACACAATTTAAAGGAAAAGAGCAGCATCATAGGAAGAGGGTGAAATGCACTGGCAGGATGTGACCTCCCCTCTCTCAATCTCTTTACACCCCTCTCCCTCAAAATCCCTCTCCTCCTCTGTTTCACTGTTGCAATAAAAAAAAAAATTCTTTACCAGATTTAATTAGGGTTTCAGTAACTTAAGCATAATGATAATATTATTTATAAATTGGTCAGAAAAAACAGGAAATGCACAGATTACTGTCAAATAAGGTAATACAGACTCAAACTATACTGTAATACACGAGTCTACAGCGCGTACTGTTGATGCACGGAGCAGCCATGTTGAAATTCAGCACAGGCTACTGAAGTTGCTCTGAGGGGCGTTCCTGTTTGGTGAGCCTGAACATCACTGACAGCAGGAGGGTTTATACGACAATCAGCTGACATTGGTTAACCTTCTGTTATATGTTAGCTGTTTGTTCACACAGACAGAAAAAGGTATCACCTCTATCGTCGCTTAAACTGGCAATATGCAGTTCCTTTAAAAAAAAAAACTTTCAGCAGATGTGCGGTACGTTTCCAGTCAATCGCCATGAGCGAGTAGGCAAACTTCAACGACTTCAATCTACAAAACGTGAAGTTTCAGTTTCATTGCTATTGAACAATCTACCAGTTCTCAGAGCAGAGTGTAAGATAAATAAATGAGGACAGATTTACCATCATGTTTTTGTATAAAAAAATGTGGCTTCACATCATGTTGACAAAGCGATTGTCCTGGAACATTCACTTGTAGATGTGCAACGACTATAATCACCAAAACAACTGTACTTTAGGAACAGACATACACCCTCACCAACACTGTAACGTCTCTGTACTCTAAAAATACATCACCACATTGAAATGAGGGCGGCTGTGAAACCCGTCTCTGCAGGAAGAACCTGACCATCACTCAGACGTCTGTTTGTTTGGTGAGTCTGCAGGATGAGTGAGTGTGAACATCACCGTGACAACAGGAGTATCCACAAACCTCCTCACTGTCACAATACTATCACTTACTGTGATACGAGTTTTCAAGGTTACAAAATCAAACTTACTGACACTAAACTTGTTCTTGAATTGAATTTAAGTTTCAGAAAGCGACATCTTTTTCTTCTGAAATGAAATGTAAACATCTTACACAATGACAATGTGACCCACGCTCCACATCCATGTTCAGAAAATCTACTTTAAGGGTGGTTTCATGCTGGGGACCTGGGCCTGGGTCAGACTACACTCGACCCAAAAGTCCGGATAATTTAATCAGCGTGAACACAAATGGACCGTACTGTCCCCCAGTCCACTTGAAGAGGTGGTCTCTGGCAGGATTCAAGTGTACTCGAGAACGGTCTGCAGGCAACACAACCGTGCTCAAATCAGGACGTGGAACGCTATATGACGTCATTCTATACGGCTCTTGCAGCTTCAAAACTGCTCTACTTACTTAGTGTATTCTCTTCTGAAAAATCACTTTCCCCCCCCTCCAACGGTAGAGTTAAGGCCCTGTGTTGGGCAGAGAAGTACTGGCTGAGCGTTCAGATGAAGTGCCTGTGCACTTAGAATGAAAGAGCTGTACGTGCAAAATGTTTCGATGACAACAGTCTCTCGACAACAGCCGCTGAATGACTGACAGAGTTGCTTTAGTTTTATATTTGAGATAGATTCCCCCTTTCACTATTTTGTCTGGATGATGAGCCTCATAATAATGACGGCCCCGCTATCCCCGCTCTGATCAGAAATGGAGCAAGGACCAGAATGATCATCTATACGATTGGCTGGTTAGAAAGAGGGCCAGTGACGTGAACTGCACCCTTCTGAATAGTTGACTAGAAGTGACCAATGGCCGCTGGGCGCTACGCCTGTTACTGGACCTTCTGTAGAAGGACTAATCACAGACCCTGCTCTCCTGAAACTGGCCTCATCTCACCCTCCAGTCTGCCTTAAACCACCTGTAACTTTTTTGTTTTCAGTTGGCTGTGAATTTTATAATCCACTGAACACTTTCTCTCCTCCAGCTGCCTGCAGGGTGTTTACACTGCGTCACCACATGAAGTCTGCTGGCTGTTACCTGCACACAGTGCGTCTGCCAAAGACTCCGTGCAGGTTTACAGTGTGCAGAGCACGACGAGAGAACATAATAAACAGCTGAAGAAGAAATGACGACAGTCTATAAATACTAAATACCTCCTCTGGGGTTTTATACTCCGTAAATGTCTGTATGTGGTTAAATCATCTACGAGAAAAGAAAGGAAAGAAGAGGAGGATTTTACACACTGTCAACTCCAAGCTGGAGTTGAAAGCTGGAGAACATCTGCAGGAGTTTAGCATCGAGGGAATACTTCAGCATTATGGGAAATGTAGTTATTCCTGCTGTGGCAGACTAAAGGAATGATTGATAGATATAGTGTTCATATCTATCCGGTACATATGAAGCCACAGACAGACACTCCCCCACCAAGATAAGTCTGAGGACCGATCACAAACCCCTTTCTCTCTCTTAGCTGGTTTATCTAGCTAGGTCCAGTACCAGGTCCCAGTTTGAAGGCCTACCTTTAATACAGCTTTCCAACATTTTTCGATTAAATAGTAGACACATTGATAACACCTCCTCTGGTATTAAATAAGAAACTTTCTGCTCCTTTCACAGATCATCTCTGAAACTGTACTGACACCCCAAAGGTGACATTTAAAGCATGTAAATCTGTTCAGACTCCATCAGAACAACATCCTGAACAAGTCAACCCTGATATGAGAAAATGTGTTTACTTTGTCTCTTTAGACCTCAGTATGAGATGTGTCTGTGTGAACATGAGTTCAGTTAAGATCCGCAGACAGATTGGATCAGTCTGAAGAGGAGAGAGTCCCACCCTTCCTCCAGTCCACATTTTTATATGATGTGCTGTATTTTGGGTGTCAGTCCTCTGATCATTAATAGTTCCCAGCAGCTGTGTTACCCACAGAGATCCACACACACCCAGTAATTACACCTAGGGTTACATAATCAGCTGCAATAAATTGGTTGTTAAATTACTCATTTCAATTCAGCTGACAGCACACATAGAAACTGAGACTTATTGCTAAGTGTGACGAGTAGCACGAGATAATATTTCTCATGGAGGTGAAAACTGTCTTGTGATATCAGTACATAGACGCAGCGCAGAAGTTATCATGGCA